TTCATAATTTGTTTGCGCTCCACAGCGCTTGTTCTGGATTCACTGGAATGCTGAGCAGCTCATTCGAACATTCGCAGAATTTGCAACTTTGCACTTTTTGTTCACAGAGCTGATCTTGTCACTTGGGCCGTTACTCGTGCGGACCGAAAGCTGGGCGTGTACGATGGTAGTTCGGGCGCGTCGCACAATTCGCTATTTGAGCTGCGCGATTTGTGTGAACTTGACGGCGTCGCGTTAGAAACACAACTAGTCCATTGTTGGCGAGATTTCAGCAAGGCTTTTGACGCGCTTCCACTGCCGCCGTGAGTGGCTCAACATCTTCATTTCAGTTGTGTATTTTGCATTTAATTATTTCGTTTTTGTTTCATTTTTTATGCAAATTTTTTTTGCTAAAAGGCAATCGCGTTCGTCTGTCCAGCAGCAGCACTTATGATACAAATTAAATTATTCTGTTATATTCGCGTCGTTTAACCCGTCTGCGAATCGCGCAGCACACAGTCGTTCGCTTACATAATTAAATACTAACTATAATTCCAACGGTACTTCTTATGCTGCGTCGGGCGACCGAAAGCAGTGAACTAATTAAGCAAGCTCATGATAACTCGCTGGCTGCCGTTTGTGTGCACCAAGAGCAGCTAAGAGCAGAACTCGACTAGGTCAATGTCGCAACTCGATACAAAGGCTTTGGTTTGCGGTCCATCAGCGCGGGCTTCCGCGTCGCTTTGTAGTAGTTTATTACTAGAGTTGAATATTATTGTAATTCTATTTTTAAAGTCAAAATTGTTCTCATTTTTACACCGTATACAATACTCGACTCCATATTTTGTGCTTTAAGATCGGGTAAATGTACAAAAGCCAGAAAGAGAATAGGAAATGTATGATAGAACGGATCCAGTTTTCAAAATGTTTCCAAACCCTTTGATGAGCTTTGAAAAGGAGAAAGGAAAGACCAGTATCTGAAATGCAAATGCAGAATGATTTGAGCTTTCATTTTGGTTTCTATAGCGCGGACTGGATAAAAAATCTGGGTCCGTTCCGGTTACGTAGACCCGACTGTCGTGGTAACGGTAGCGCACTTAGGTACGCATGCTTTGAATCTGTAAACCCTGAAGGTGGCTTTTAGCGGCTGCCGAAAGTTTTGAATATCTTTGTATTTTAATAATGTCAGCTTCGGTAGTCAGCATCTCTCGAGCGCATGTTGGGTGTTGTAAGTTATCTTCGCTCGTTTGTAGGCCCTTGCGATCTGTTTAGTTCGTTTGCATGCAGTGAAATTCGTGTGCGCACTTACGATCTCAATTATTATATATTTCGATGCATTCTACATATCGACACGTGAGTTGTGTGTGTGTGTGTGTGTATACGTCGGAATATTGATAAGGGTGTTTTACAATAAGGAAAATCAAGAATGCGCTGAGATATTTATATTATGAATATATGAGCTTTTAATTAAATGTCAACTACAATGGGAATGTTAGCAAGGCATTGAATGGCAAAGCAATGGGCCAAGCGCTGCAAGGAGGGGTGCAATTGACGCAATTTGCACGCGCACACGTGGCCATGTTCGTATATATGTTTGTGGAGATACATAAATAGTTTACGTACTACCGATTTGAAAAATGCATTCGAACAGCAATGTGCTGATATTTATTATGACGTTTTTATTGATTTGAATTGTTCGCTGGTTTCGAATAAAGTCATGCCATACAATACATTATTTTTATCAAGAATCATTTGTGCTATTTTTACCATCAAACCGTACCTTGTTGGAGGGAACTATATGATGCCCCATTAAGCCTTCGAAGGTTAGACGATTCGTACACTTTCTTATGGTTATGTACATATATATAACGTTGTATACATAATAATTGTACTCCACTGAGGAGGGTTAGGTCTTCCTCATCTCTTTGATGTATCCAGTTCTTACTAGCAACGTTGGTAGGTATAAACAATCTTCGAGTCGATTTAATGATGTAAGTAAGGAAAGTATATTTTATACAGATCTTTATTTTCATTCTGATCGGCCAGCTTGAATGTCAGTTATATGATGTACTGTTCCGATCTGGAAAAATACATTGGAGATTGAAGCTATGCCTTACCCAAAAGCTTATGCAAAATTTCGTTAAGGTAACTTGTCTTTCTTTTCTTGTAACTTCGTGGTAAACTTAGTAAATCCTGTTCAGGGCATACAATTATGAATCAAAAGAAAAAAATTGATATGTCTCTCTATGGTTAGGTGATAGACTTATCACAATATTTGCAAATTCACAAAAAATTGTTTAGCGTTGAAATAAAGCATTAATTTCATTAATAAAAAATGAAATTGTAAATTAAATTGATAATTTAATTATTAACATACATTCTCCCCACACTCCCAAAAGCCGCACAGTTAATTTCACTTGATAACGTTCCTTCCTATGCACATTGGCCCGCGTCACCACCGCAGGGTTAAGCCGTCGATTCAAGTTTCATTGAGCGTCAGTCAGTCTAATGAGTATGCGAAAGCGTTGACTTGGTGATAGTTGATGTATATCTATTGTTTACTCCGCTTTTGGCGGCAGTTTCGCAGGTTTAAAATAACACACGGTTATCAAACAGGTGCCGGTGACGATCAGCTGTGTATTTGTGCGGCATTCTCGAATGTGATTTCAAAAATTCAGCTAACATGCGAAGCCACAAATCTCATATAATGACAGAAAGTAGAGAGAAGGCGATTGATTGGCCATTAAAAGCTGTGTTTTATTAACCTAAGCTAATTAATTAAAGCATAAATTAAAGCAAGGAGCTTAGAGTGACGCTTATATGGGAGAAGCTAATGGTAATGCGTAGATAACCTAAAAAACGCTCGTAAAGTCGCATTTTCGCGCCATTATCAAGCGAGTAAAACTTAACTAATGGGATGAAGCACAAGCATACACACAAATGCACACATGTGTCTTGCCTTTAGTCGCGCTTGTAGTGCTAATGTAGTGCTTAGTTCTTGAATTGAAAACAGTTATGCAGATGAGGCGTAAGCGCGTGTGCTCGAGTTTGAATTTTGTCCAAACTAGTTTCGTAAACATCATATGTTATGAAAGCTGTTTGCTGAAAAACAATTCTTAATTGTGGAAATATTGAAGACATAAAAACACTAATATATGTATATAAAGCTGTATGTATGTATATATATATGCATATGCTTGTATATATATATTCGAAGGTAACCGCATTATAATATGCTGCGCTTGTGCTACCATTTTTATTGTGCTAAAAGAAGAATGCAGTCCGAGGTGATACAACGGTGTAACGGTACAAAGTTAACTGCAGAAAGTTACCTCGATTTTGGCATCAACCAAATGAACAGACAAATGTTAAAGTGGTCAGAAGATTTAGAAATAAAATAAACTCGTTTTGTATTTGATGTTTATAATTGGTCGATTAGCACGATCAATTTGGGCGAGAGTCGATATCTAACCGAGCGCTTTTAACTTGCACATTTATCAAAGGAAATCGAGAGAACATTTCTTTCCATTTATTTTTTGAAGATTAACTCCGTTAAATGTTGGCCACGGCTACACGGCTACGTCTCAGATGGTTATTCCATTGAGTCAAAGTTCTGAAATAACTTTTTTTTGTAATAAAATGGCAGCCCTGGAATCTCTTCAGGTTACTCTTCGTGTCAAATGCGAAAGTTTTGTTTTTTTTACATATCCATTGGGCCATAAAAGGAACTTTTCAAGAGTCCATAGAGGCAAGCGATGTCGCTTGGATGGTCATACGGCTTCAGTTCTTGCACGCTTTTTATAGTGGATAGAGAGCTAGATTAGGCACCTTCGCTTCGCTTCCTTATCCAGTAAAACTACAATAACTGCATGGTTGTTGAGGTCAATGATATCAATATCATCGGCATAGAAGATTGTACTTTCTCTATTCCGCCCGGCAGCTCAAATTATTTTCTCGAGCAGTAGATTGAAGAAGTTCCACACTAGGGAAATGCCTTTTCTGAAGCTTCGTTTGGTATCGAACGGTTCGGGGAGGTCCTTCCCGATCCTAAGGAAGTTTTTGGTATTGCTCAGCGTCTGTTTACTCAGCAGTATTATTTTCGAGAGGATACCAAGTTGTGTGTGTATCGATATTCCTTTCACGGGTCTTTTCCAAGATTTGGTTCATGGTGCAAATCTGGTGGATTCTAGATTTTCCAAGTCTTAAGCCACACTGATAAGGTCCCATCAGTTTGATGGCGATGTGCTTCAGTCTTTCAGTCAGTGGATTGCTTTAAGTAGCTAAGGAATATAAATTCGTTAATTGTGAGCTGGCGTGTATATTTTGTAATATAGAAAAGAGAGAAATTGAACTGACTGAGCAATTTCCAATATTGTGTTATGGAAATCTGTTGCAATTTAATAAATTTTTATAACAAAAAAAAAAAAAAATAAATTTATAAAAATAATCAATAAAATAAACGGGTAAAATCGAATCAAAACAAATGAAACTTGTCTTAAAATAACTCACACCGTTTTTAACCTCATTTTAACTGCGAAGACCTAACATTTTTCAATCAAATATTTAATTTTGTTTTATTATCGATCTATCTAACTATCTGAGTTGCGAACATGCCGCTTATCAGCGACTTATCTGATAATCTGTGCAAAACACTTCCGAAGTGTTGAAAACCAGTGTGTACCGCAGCGGGGGTAACTAATAAGTTGTTGAATTTCACATTATGCCGTTTTTATGGCGCCAATTAGCGAGCTCAGCTAAACGTCGCGAAGCTCACAGCCAAATGCATACATATTTATGTGCTGAAACAAGAGCGAACAGCAATAAAAATACGGTGCAAAAATGAAGCAAAAATTCGCCCACGCAAAGCGGAAGCGAAGTTCAGACTTTGTTTGAATACATCGTCATTCAACAGCTGCCACCGCACGGCTGCTTTATTCCAGCAAAATGTCGTTTATGTCAACATTTCTCGCCGCTTATAATTAAGCGCAAATGCAATTAATATTTCCACATTCACACTTCGCGCTGCCCAGGTGGCTCGGCATGTGCGGGCTTTAAATTTGATTCAATCACTGAAAAATCTGGATGTGGCTTTAACAGCGCTAAATATTGAGAAAAAGTAAGAGTTGGAGCATTTAGTTATGATTTGTCTTATAAATGATTTTGTTTTAGTTTTTTTTGTATTGTGTGTTTTTGATTTACTACACGACTTATTTATAGCAAAACCGGGTTCACAGAGATATTAAAAAAACTAACATACTATTCTAGATACATATTGCTTCTTCTCGAATAGAATATCCGTAGAAGCTCTGCGATATAAAAATCGATAAATGAAAACTAATGAGAAACCAGTTTGTTGACGATGTGTAACAAGTTCAGTGTCTTACACACACACATACTATTTACATATTATAAAATTGGGTTTTTAATCTTAATTACTGTTTAAAGCAGGGAATTCGTACATATTTTTCACCCGTTTTAATAATAATAAATTTCTTCAAAACAACTTCAAAAAACGGTCTTCCGAAGCTATAACACCATTCACAAATACAAAATTTGAGTGACAAGAACTTGCTTCCAATCGTTCAGCTTGCGGAGCAGCTGTATGCTATAGTTATCCAATCTGCGACATCGCTTCGCTATATGGACTTTTGAAAAGTTCCAAGAAGATCGGACGTTCTCGAGCCAAATTTTGTTCAGTGATTAGGCTCATTTATGACTCAATGAGTTTATAAAAAAGCAAAATTCCGACATTTCAGGGGCTGTCCATTTATCCAGAAAAAACACGGTTTGTTGTGTGGCCGGTGGAATCATCGGTCCATATGTCCTCCAAAATGATGACGGAGAAAACGTAACCGTAAATGGCGAACCTTATCGCGCTATGGTAACCGACTGTTTGATGCCAGAGATTGAAGCTCGTAATCTGGAGCAAAACAACAGGAGTGACATTCGCCAGTTACCAGTCAAGATGTCCGAAATAGTAATCGAGAATTGGACTCAACGGATGGACCATCTGAGACGTAGCAGCGGCAATATTTGAAGATATTCGTCAAGAAATTAATGCCAAAGAATCCACTTTCCAATAATAATAAACATTCCTCATTAAATTTGAAGTATCTGTGTTTTTTCTTGAAAAAGGTAGGGAAAGGAAGGTAGGGGTAGGGTATAAAAATCACAAACCTTAATACCCACATTGAGTGTTGAAGTGCCATTGTTGGAGAATTCAACCATTAATTGTATATCATATTATTACATATGTACATATTTATATTTAATCTTATATGGCATAAAGTCAGAATAAGGAGTGTATTTATTTAGTTTTCGTATCAAAATTTCCATACGCCAAGAGGATAAAATTTCTTTGCATAGCCATACAGCCTGGTGTCATTCAAAATGCTGTTATATTGGAAGAGACAAGGCTATAGTTAAATTCGTACCCAAATTTCTGAAATATTAAATTTCTTACTCGATAGTTTTCTTTGAAAAACTTACACAAATTATGAGTGTATTTTGTTCAATTACGATGACTTTGATACTTCTACTTTGTGTGAATACCCCGCAGAGAAATCAGTTACTTACAAACCGCGTTAAAATTAACAATCAAACACGTCAGCTGATTATACGTATTCACTAGGATCAAAGGTCAACATTCAGATTTCGACTAGAAGTATAACATTTTAACATTAAAATGAGTACGCAAATTTACCGAATTCATTAGTTACTACGTATTCAAATTTCCAACTATAGTAGGACTCTCAGCCTAAATGTATGCAATTACTGTATTTACAATATGAGTTTCTGTCAACTGATTGAGATAGTGAATATATAATTCAATAAGACACACAAAATGACAGTTTTGGAATATTCAAAGAAAACTTTATATTGAAAATCCCATGCAATTAAATTGATGCCCGCTTAGGTATAAATGGCTTTTCAGAGTAAACAAATCGCATCGTTATACAGGGTGCACCACATTTTAAGTCAGTGTGTAAACAGTGAGCTCTAATTAAGAACCGATTTATATGTTAGCTATAATTTAATTTCAACCCTTGCAATATATATAAGATTATAACACCTACCAAGACTCCGTTCACAGAAATATATAGAAAACTCTTCAGTGGTTTCCATAACTTTTTCATGCTTCTCGTGCTCGTCTATCAATAGTTCGAAGATTGCTTTTGTATACTTTGCTTTTTACTCTTCACTGATAAATTTTAAAAGTCTTCAAATAATCCCACAAGAAAAAGTCAGAGGTTGTCAAATCTGCACCTCTTGTTGACTCAGACATGCATTATATTTCCCTTTCAAAGGGTGTTTGAGTGGCGTCTTTCTGATTAAACATCCCTCAATATCGACTTTCATCAACAGTTTCGATTAATAATGGGTTTAGCATAAGCACTGCTCAACCACCAACCAATCTAAAGGATGACACACCCTGTTAAGTACACAATATATAATAAATAAAAGAGCGATGGCAGTAATTGCCCCGCTTTTTGCAATACAGAGAATACAATTAAAATACAGTTAGTCTGAAATGAAATAAAATCAAGCTAACCAGGTTTTAAACCAGGCGATTACCATATTTTGCGGGCGCACATCATAAATTAACTAAATGGAGTAATTGAAGTGCATTCACCTTGAAAAAAAAAAAAAAATAACACTGGTAAAAATTTCTCTCAGAACTCTCACAATTTTGTTGGCGGTCACATGTACACTCTGTAAGAATGCACCAACCATTCCAGTGCAAGTTTATAGGTTATGGTTTTGGAGATTTCCAATTTGCAGTGGTTCAGAACTTTTAACGAAGGGACTCAGTGAATATATTTAATCCACAGGCGCTTGTTGTGTCGGAATATTAGAAAATTAATTATATAATTTCGAAATTTTTAATAACGAATTATTTTATAATATATATAATTAATCAAAATGGCTACTACTTATCATGAAAGTCTCTTTCTACAAAGTCTGTCTTTATACAGATGTACAGTTATTTTAAATATGAATATTCAGAATAATAAATAATTCGAATCATATGAGTATCTTTTCGGTCTTGCCCTGGCCTTGCTTCCATCGATAGCAGTCTGATAAGCAAATCGAACTAGAACGGGAGCAGTGCGGCACTATTCTAATTTGCTGCGGGGCACAAACGATTGAAAGCGTATACGGACGTTTGCCTCAGGCTTGGATGCTGGTATACGCCGCTACAATGCAAACAGACAAACACAATAGCACATAAAAGTTCAAGTGCTGCGGTATTTGGAATTCACTTACCGAGTTGTGTGCCGACAATCACCGGACAGACATGCTGCTTGCTGCGATAATCGTATTGATGGTACTCATTCAGCTGCGTCCAATAAAGCAAGGCATTCGTCGGCAGCGTGATGCCCAATTCCAACTGCGGGAAGACAATAGCGCCCCCCAACTTGGCTGTTTGCAGCTGCAAATGAGAAATGTAGAGCATAATTGATTTAGCCACATTTGATTCCTGCCCATTCATATCTCACTCACATTGAGCAGAACATTCGCCATGATTTCTGTTGTCGCTGGCAGCAGCGTCTCTGTGTGTACGTCATCTTCGAACGTCCAACGCTCCATTTGCCAAGCGCCCCACTTGCGCCCTGCATGCCCTGTAGCCCGTTGCAAGCGCTCGGTGGTGCTCTTGCGCTTTAGTAGCTTTGCTACAGCTGCCTCATCGCCGTCATCCGCATCGGCGATAATCTGTTGCAAGTCGCTGATTTCCTGAGCGCTCAACACGTTGTGATATATGGCGATGTATGGATCGAGGCTTAAGAGCTCCACTTGGAGTGGTTGCAGCAGCAGCTCAGGCAGATTACCGTAAATCAGGCGACAATCTGCTGCGCTGCTGCTAAATGCGCCGCTGCTGCTGGCGGCGTCGATGTTTGTTGCCGCACGACAAATCTCTTCAATCAGCAATTCTTCAACAGATTTGTCACTTTGCTTCAATGGAGAAAGGAAAATATGTTCAAATTTTATGTATTTTTCTTTGGCGAGAGATTTATTTGGAGTATTGAATGGAAAGTGGTAATAGAAGCGCTATTAGTACTTTCAAGTGGAAGAAAACGCTTAAGTTTTGTTTTGAGTTGAAGTCGTTTGCTGAATCTAAATGTGAATAAATGTTAAGGTGGCATTGATTTCGTGAAAAAGTACGGTTAAGGAGTTTCTTTAAGAGGTTACATGGGCTTGCGGATTTCAAAAAATCGGTTTCTTTTACTGCCTTTTTAAATTCTACAACATCTCTAAATTAGTGCCCTAAATTTTCAAGTTGATCCGAATAATTGTTTCGCATATACAGCCTTGAGACTTTTGCGCTCGAAGCTAGCTTAGCGAAGTGCCCCGTTTTTAAACGCGTTTTTCTCGAGACTGTGTTCTTGAAGTCGGTTGGCAAAATTTATCAAGAACTACTTAACTGATCTTCATGAAATTTTACACAGTTCTTTAAGATATAATTCAAGACTTGAACAACTATTTGAAAAAACAAAAAAATTTGGCGAAATTTTAAGTGAAATGTTAAATTTTTTGTAAAAATGTCTGCCAACAATCCATTTTCAGTTTTTTTCCGCTGTCCAAGTTGTAAGTTAAGATTTTAACTAAAACAAGTATTTTTTCACTTTGGATGATCCTGTAAGGATTTATCCTGCAAACGCGGGCCCAAATTTGTTGAAGAAAGGAAACCAATGTAACCCCTTAATTGGCATCGAAGCAAAGTGGATATTGATTTGGATCTATCTGTTAGACCAGAAATCTATCAATGGGTTTCAGCTGAGTTTCTCCTGAAACCTGAATTCGAAAAGTTTCTTGGAATTATCCCGAACTTCAGTAAATTCGATCGCCTATGCACTTACTACTTTATTTACTTTGCTCTGCTTTGAAGCTTTTTTAGATTTTTTCGTTGGTTTTCTGAATTTTCTTTCCACTCGTGTCTTGGTTTTAAGCAGGTTCTTATTTTTGGGATGTTTCTTTAGTAGTGTGTTGATGATGTCGAGTGCGCTATCCAGGTTACCTAAATTGAGAGAAAGAAACATTAAACACTTATTTGCATACTTTTTAGTAGAATCGTAAAATCTGACTCATCAAATCAGGATTAAATTTATATACTGTAGATCCGAAAAGCGTTAAAAATCACTGAGACGTCAATCTAATGCTTCACACACTTTCACAAGCACCTACTCACCCATATTGGACTCGATTATAGCCAGCGCTTCCATAATCTGCAAGCGCGCATTCTCCGCCTCCACACTGCGCCGCTCGCTTGAGGACATGCCTTCTGTGGCATTTGCCGCCGCCATTGACGCGCCAGCTGTAGCAGGCAACTTCCCCAGCGCCACTTCCATCCAAAATTTTGCAATCACAAAGTCGCCATTTTTCACTGATTTACGACCGATTTCCAGACAATCGCTCCAGGACATGGCTGGACTGCAGGGCAGAAGAAATGTGCTACAAATACTTGTCTACTAATAACAGCAATCATATTCAAAGAAATGCCGAAAGCGAATTGCTTTAAGATGCCTTTTTATTGGTGTTGCTGTTACACGCACCCACGACTTATAGGCGACGACTTACCCCAACTTTATGCCATTCACCTCACCCACAGCCAAACGCTCTGGCTCCAGCTGGTAGACGCCCTGAATGCGCAGCAGGTTAAGGGCTGCCTCATCGAAATCACTTTCGGTCGGGAATTTCAACGACTTCCTGGTAATTGTCAGATTTTTAACGATTTCTGTTGGCATTAAACGTAGGAAAACAACAACATTTTTAGAATATTTGCAATAGCTGTGTGTATTTGTGTATGTGTGAGTTGGATATACTGCGAGAGATGCTCGCAGAAATTGCGTTGACGGTGACAATGACAGAGGAATCTCCGTTCTGCATTAACATTGATTGACAATCGAAGTTCGTTCGAATTGTCGACATGTCGGAATGCCAAACGGACAATGCAAGTGGAAGGACTCACCTGTTGTGCTGTCAATATTGTGAGCATATTGCCGCAGCATCTGCCAGTCGGATGTGAAGCGCTTCAGAATGGTCAACGAATTCAGGGGATTACTCACATATTTGTGCATGTCAGCGGCGGCCACGTTGTTGATGGCTTTGATTTCATTTGTTTTGCTAAGCAGAAATATAAAATATGAGAATACGTGTGGGAGCGAGAAAAAGTGAGTAAAGTCTTTGGGCATGGAAATTAAGGGTAATTTTATCTAAAATATAGAATTGAGATCAACTTCAAACATTTTTTGAATGTTTTTTATCCTATTAATTGTTTCAAACTTCAAATTTCCAATTGGCGACAATTTATCGCACTCGACACTAGTTGTCCGAAGAATACTCCATAAAACATGATCATCGTATTATTAGGTTGACAAATATCTGCCTTCCGCTTCTTTGCTCTTTATTAAATACTTTATAAAAAGTGTTACAGTGATCGAATTTTGTTCAAATATGCGCTGTTTCGTCCGAAAATCAGTTTCCATCTAGACGGCAACTTCATAATACCCTCCTCGTAGGAGCCTCCTCCTTATTTGGGAAGAACTCGGACAACCACTTTTCATAAGCCTCTTTTGAGTTCAACTTTACACCATCAAGGGCGTTCGCCATTACCATGTGGTAATCCCATCTGTAGCTTCTGATGAGTCATCTGTAACTTCTGATGAGTCATCATCGAAGTGTGTGGTTTGGCGTTGTCCTGGTGGAACACTACACCCTTCCTGTTGGTCAATTCTGGACGCTCCTGGTTGATCGCCTGCTTCAAGCGGACCAGTTGTTCGCAGTAGATGGTAGAATTAAGCGTCTGGCCATAAGAGAGAAGCTCATAGTGGATACTTTCCTTCCAATCGCACCAAACATACAGAAAAACCTTCCCAGCCGTCAATCCCATGGACGGCTTTTGACCAAGACCGTTTTCGCTTGATATTGTCGTATGTGATCTCTTTTCGTTGCCAGTCACCATCCGCTTCTAAAATGGGTCGAGTTCGTTCCGTTTCAGCAGCATATCGCCATCGTTGATTCGGTCCAGAAGGGTTTTTTGCGTCAAATCATGCGGCACGGAAACATCAAGCCTTTTCGTGTATTCATCCTTCTGCGGATGGTTTAAAATGGTTTGGTGACTAACTCCCACCTGCTGGGCGATGCCACGCAGTGCCACATGCCGGCCTATCCATGGTATCCTTTTCAGCCGCTCTGAATCGTTGAAACCATTCCTCTTCAGTTCGAAGTGATAGAGTACCATCCACCAAAACACCATTAATCTCAGGGAACGTTTCTAAAGCGGATTTTCCTTTAAGGAAGGAAAACTTTAAAATGCGCGAATTTCGGCGTTAGGAAACTCCATGTCGTTTTGTAGGTTATTTCAAGACTTATAGAAGATATCGAAGTATTGCCAGATACGAGCTCTGTTGCGCTTTATACACAGCCGCGAATTTTAAAAGACAAAAGGGCGGAAGGGACATACTTGACAACCTAATAGTAGAAACCAGTTAGTAAAAGGGCTTATAGAACTCTCAATAATTTGCCAGTTTTATCGCTTTCAATGATCGGTTCCCCCACTCACCTCTTTATAACACGGATTTTCTGCTGCAGCGCTTCAATATACCGCCGAAGTGTGTCCGTTAACACCGCTTGTGTATTCAAATACTCAACCACTAGATATTGATCGTCCAGCGTAGTTGTAGCGGTTTGCGCCTCGGCTGAACCAAAAGCGAAGATCAATAAAGTTATTAGCATAAACAGCAACAAGGCAAACAAAGAGGTTGGACTAACTGCTGTTATTTTGAGTCGAAGTGACTTATGTGTTGGTATGTTTGTGCGTTTACTAAAGGTCAGTGACATCGCTGCAAGCTGCCGGCTTTTCAGGGTTGTAACAATGTTGTAAAGGCGGCCCAAGGTCAGTTGGTATGGTATTTTCAATAGTCACTATGTTACTCTAGCTGGTTAGCCAAAGGTTACATAAACAAATGTGCTGGCCAATTTTGTTTAAAAACAAGACGTGGTTTACTTGGCTCTCCTCGTACACACTTTACAGATGATGGTGCTTTGAAAGCTTCTCACAAACTGAGCTGTAAATGCTTAAGAATGCTAGTTTAACTAAGATCCGTTGCGATTTTAGAAGCTTTCGGAAGGCAATAAATTGTGGATTTTTTGTATCTTCTTTAAACACGGTTCATTTCAGGTCAGCCCAAAATTAATAATAAAACGAAGCCGTGACAAAGCACGTATGTATATTCTTACTCATGTGTTGTTCTTACACTTTCGCATGTTTTACCCAACTTTTCTGCTACAAACGGCATACAAATCTTAATAAGCGATTGTTGTCGGATTTAAATTTTTTTTTTTAATTCGATTGAATTCTTTGGATAAAATACTAACTGAGAAGTATTGCCACCATTCGTTAATAGATAGAAAAATTAAAAACTATTATTGGTGGAGAGATTCCCAAAGTGAAAAAAAGCAACTTAACGATAACAAATTTGGATCGGCATACAATAAGCTACAAAGAAAAGTTTATAATTACTGCGGGAGCAGAATTTTGCACTACTGCATATGTTCGGTGCTTGGCACGAGCATGTTATATGTCAAACAATTACCATAAAATATATTAATTTGGGGACTACCGAAATGCGAATGTGACATCTTTCTGGTGCGTGATGGTATCAGCTCATTACAAATTCATCAGTAGCAATGCGTAAGGGGTTGCGTACAGTTAGAAATTTCATTATTATTTTTTTATAATTACTTATATTTATATTCTCCTAAGGTACATACTATATTTAAAAATACGCAGAAAAAAGCTCATAACATTCCGGTGAATATTTCCGAAGTCACACAAAAATTTTGAAAAGCTGTTCAGAGTGCTTGGAAGTGTATTTTAAATATTAAAAAAGTTTTTCTCAAAATGGTGTTTTTAAAGCAGGTTATCAATATTATTCGAAAACGGCTAATCGATTAGTCTCAAATTTCAGCACGAGCTTATTAAATATATTTGTTAGTAATTAATCAGATCTTTTCCTACCGATTTTTATTTTTTTTCACAATTTAAGGCCGAAGTTTTGGTTAAAAATGGATTTATTTTTTAGAAAGCGCCATTTTGCAAAAAAAAAAAAATATTTTGCTTATTTCCTTGCTTCGATTTACTAGATTTAACACTACTTAAACAAATTCTGTTTGGTTTTTTAATTTCAGATGTTCCAGTTCAAAGCCATCGTATTCATCGCAAAACGTCTACCGGAGATCAGCTGTAGTTCCTTTCCAAATAATTTTATTTATAAATACTAAGTCTTAAAATACCGTTAAAAGATACGGACAGATGTGTACAAATTTTTATATCAATAAATTTAAAAGTTTGTCAGAAAAAAATTCTGGAAAATTGGCTCTTTTTGGCTTTCTAAGTGTAAATTAAGGGGTTACTTTGAATTGGGTTAATTTGAGTTGCAAATGTTTGTGTGCTATTTTTTTAAATTTAAAATTTAAAAATATTTTAGACTTACCTTTGAAGTATTTTCATTATTAATGCTTATTTATTACTTGGTCATTACCTCACTTACTGGAAATATAGTACTTCCGACTGAAAATTTTCATTTGTCGTATAGTGTGCTGTAGAGCTGCGTGTACATTTCGACATGCTCGTAGACAAGCATATTACTTTTCACCTGTGTTGTGCCGGTGTCAGTAACAAAAGAAAAAAAAAAAATAATCGATTGTTGTTCTGCTCTTTTAATTTTTGTCTACGTGACTAAGAGTAGATAATTCTAAGTTTTTAATTGTTTTTTCGGTGTTGTTTAATCATTTCAAATACTTTAAATGTACGCTGCAGCTGCCACATCATACTCACACATACAAAATTCGGGAATATTGCGATGCGCTTGCTTTTATTATATAACAAAAAATCGGAATCTCTTTAGGTGACTTGTGGTTGGATGCCAGCTATTGAAAACAGCTGTCAAATGCATTGAGTTCATAAAGGCAATAAGCCCGAAAAAGAGCATACATATATTATGTACACATCTGTATACTTATGTATGTAAACAATTTAACTGTGTAAATATTTTATAGAAAACCTGCATTTATGCTTGTATACCTACCTGTGTATACCATAATGGGATACATTCAATGTTTGTTGGTAGAAGTGTATTGTCACCTAAATGCAAACGAACGTATCATCAAAAAGATCGAAATTGAGTTTTTTATTGCTTACGATGCATTACATCATATTACATGTATACAAGTATGAAACTTCCGCTGTCAGATATAACCAATATGTAAGCAATATATAATCATTTTATAACCAAAACTCAAATTGTGTTTCAATATGAGTGTTTTCTCTTATATTGTTATCCTTCGCCTAAAAAGTGTTATGAAAAGTGATGTTACGTTATTTTGCAGTTTAGGCGACGGTATGTTAAAATAAAAAAAAAAATTAAAGACAAACAACTTCTAAAATTATTTTTCCTAAATTTTACAAAAAACACACACAAATGTACACACCATTTTTCGTTAAAAAATTTTTATTGTATTTGAAAGAAATCACTTAAATTATGCAATGCTCTGCTCTTCGTTTCTGTACACATACTTCCATTGTGATGATTTATGACCATCCTTCTTTTTGCCGCAAGGCCGGAGGAATTCCTGTCCAGTTGCGTGGAACCACTCGTTGCAGACTGGCGAAATAAGAGAAGCAAATTTTGAATTTTTTCGACATTTCTTGTGAATTGGAGTGCTGAAAAAGTTTTCATGCACCACGTTCCAGCCACTTTGGTTAGACATATTTATTGCGAAGGAACCATAAAATTATTTCAGATAGTTTTGAATACACTGAAGTTAATTGTATGGTACAAGGAACCAATGTGACGACAAAACCGAAATGAATTCAATGTAAAAAAGATTGTATGATGTTCTCTTTTTCTAACTCACATCGCATTTTAGTACTTTGCAAGCTCCAAAACACTTTTAAACTACCAAATCGAACAAATTCTTATATCCACTCTCCTTTTTTCTGAACTTATAGAACTTAAATCCCTGCACTATGGTAACTTAAAATTATTACGTTCCTTTCTGCACCAAAGAAAAAGTAAATTATTAGTACTTACTCCACTTTGAGCCCACCAACACCGGACAACCGCCATGTTTCGTGCGATAATCCAGTTCCAGCGATTTGTGTAAATTGTACCAAACGATCATGCTGCCCCTAATGGGGGGTGCAATCAAGCGCAAAAAGGGGAAGGCGGTAGCACCACCTAGTTCCACCTCGTTGATCTATATAGTATAAGGACAGAAAGAAGAGTACAGTCATACATATTTAATATAATAATTTTCGAAAGTTAAAACTTACATAAAATAATGCGGTTGCTATGCGATTGCCTTGACCATTGTACTCATCTTTTTCTAACATCTAACAATACAATTGTTCAGCATGAAAGGATATGCATGATAATAAATAGTGTAATAATCACCTCCGAGAAGTCATAGTGAGCGCCGTAATGGCCTCCTATGCCATAATTGGCTACTTGTAAATGCTCGCCGGATTCCAAAGACAGACCCGTTGCATCCTTTAAGCGTTGCGCGATGTTATTCAAAAATGGGTGTTCTTTAAAATCGAGCCAAGCATTTTGACTTGTACGCACTTCCGAGTAAGTTGCGTTTTCTAGATCGCCGACCATCGACCGCTCCACATAGTCTTCGGTTGCATTTAATATTTGCTTGATTTCTTTCTCAAATATGCTTTCATGGTAGTAAGCAATTGATGGATCGAGGTTCAGCTCTTCCTTCTTGAAGGGCGCTATAAAACGGAAGGGCACATTGTTGTGCACATAACGGCAGCGTAGACGACGTTTTTCGCGCGGTGTTTGTTGCAGCTCACCATTGCATGTCTTGTCGAAGAGTACGTCGAGTTCGGTGCGCTGTGAGTGAGAGTTAATTGCGAGCAAAAATACAAATTCAAATGAAAAATTATATACGTGACCTGGTCTACGAAAAGGGAGCTAACGTGCGAAAACTAGTTTTCTGGGAAACTGCTGTTAAAAAAAAAAGCATCTCATCTTCCATCCGAATCAACTAAAAAGTGAAACTTGATTTTTTGACACCTAAGCCCCCTCTCCGTAGACCAGGTCACATATACATATATACCCGCAGATATTTTTTAGACTCGTCTTCATTTGAAATGGCATATCGCTCCTCAAGCGCTTTATTAGAGTAGATCAACCTATTGCGCAAACCATGCACATTGTTCGGATCTTTGGTAAAGAGCTCTTCATTGAAAAGCAAAGCCAGCTTGCTTTTACCTGCAAATATTCATATTCAAAGACAAAGCGCCAGCTTTCTACTAAAATAAATTTTTCATTGTTGCACAACAATTCACCTCTGTAAAACATGGTAATCGATAGCTGCTCCAGTATCTGCACGTCGCTGATTTGATCTATAAACTCCTGCGGTTCATAAGACTCCTGCGTTTCCTCGGCCAAGCGTATGCGCGCTTGTATAAGCCACTCGGCAGCGTACTTTAGCTCTCCTGCTGAATACAAATTGCGGCCTAACCAAAAGCACTCGCTCGCCGTAAAATTAGAAGACAAATTCATTTCCATTAGATTGCCAGCAGCCACATCAACGGTTTCTTGCTGGTAGGTGCGCTGTAAACGCGCCAACCCTTTGCTGGCGCCCAACAAATCTTCATCGGTGGGGAGCTTATAACCGTCCCTCTTTTCCAGTGCGGTGAGATTTGCAATATATTCTGTTGTCAAAGCATACAAAACTTATTGCTGATCTTCGCGTTATGTAAAGCGTTGACTCACCTTGTGCGGGTTGCTCCGCAAGCACAGTCTTGTTTAAGTTCTGCCAATCGACCACAAATCGCCTAATAATCTTATACGCATTCAGTGGATTAGAATAGTGTTCATAGAAGTCCCCTTCGGCCTCTTGAGAAACCTGCTCCAACTCATTGAGTGTTCTGTGAGAATAATGAACGTACTTTACACGATCCATTGCCACGTTTTTGAGTTTGCTTTATAAAGAACTTACTCATTGACCTGCCGACTTATTGCCTCCATTTTCTCCATATATGCTTCCAGATATGTAATCGCTTTCATTTCTAACTCCAGCAGATCGAATAAACTTATGACGGATGTATAGTAATCTCCACTAACATTGCGGCTAAGAAAAGTAAGCAGTGCTAAAACTATGAACTGTTGGGGCTTCATTGTCGGAGACCAATCTTCAGCTTCTGCCTCGTTGGATTTAAAATTGTAACTGAAATTGTGTTCAACCAACTTACTGCATTTCGGTTTTCGTGGCCGAAAATAGTTCGAAACACAGAAAGTCACTGTTTACACAAGTGTTGAACAACTGCCGGCCCAGCGAGTACGAAAGAGTAATGTACTATATATTTTAACGTGCATAAGGAAAACAACAAAACGTTCTTCATTAATATTTACTTATTTTCGACTCTATTTATTGATGTCTTTTATGACTCGTTGCAATGCAAACTATTCCAATTTATTACTGGAAATTGTGTTTAACTGTTTGTTAAACTCAATTGAATAGCTGAGTAGCGAGGAAAAGCTTCTTCATCTACTTGTTTTGTTGATTCGGTGCTCTCTGCCGTTGTGGAACCTTCGTAACCGCCGAAAATTGAGTCATTCGTCAGTGCGATATGATTTCGAAAAAGTGCATGTGAAACTCGAGTTCAACTTTATATTATATGTAATTGTGTGGAGACTTGTGCCAGCGAGTATTAACCATTCAGACCATTGACATGACAATGAAGAGATGTTGCTTGAAAATTTTGAAGGTGCATTGAACGCTTGCTTTTAAATTAGGCAAAGTCTGCTTTTAACATTGTATTAACACTCGTGGAAGGCATTTCCTCTTATATACAGTAGCCCACAAAACCGAGCAAATACTGGTCCGAAAAGTATTTTATTCTTTAATTCATTTATACAAAAATATCTTAAAAAATTAACTCCTAGGAAAATATAAAAAAAAAAGTAAGAAACTTAAAACAAAACCCATTTGCTCAGTTTTGCACATTCCACTATTGGCTTCAATACTTGGTCCATAGCTCTTTATTTTTTATGGCGCTTTTAATACGTTTTATCATGCTTTAAACAATATTTTGAATATGATTTGCGGGGATTTGTAACCACTCATATTGTACTCGAAGTCATAGCTCGTCCATGTTCCCAGGAGGCTTTTGATATTTTCCTACCTGCCTTTTCATTATCGGCCACAAATTCTTAAAGGGATTGAGATCAGGAGATTGTGCTCGCCACTCCATTAGCTAAAAACGCTGCTGGGATAACCATTCCTTAACTATTTTGGTGGTGTGTTTTGGATCTCCGTGCTGTTGGAAGATTACTTCGTCTTCAGGGTAGGCGGTTAAATCTACGAAGTCTGGCAAATTGATCTGCAAAATGCTCAGGTAGTCTTTTTTCTTCATTATACCAGTTATTTTTACAAGGGTATCAATATGCCACCATGCAAAGCAACCCCATGCCATCGAATTGCCTCCTCCGTGTTTTACGGTTTTCTTTACATGATGCCTTTGGATTCATTCTTTAGGACAGTGCCAGTAATGGCATATACCATCAGACTGAAATCGGTTAATCATCACTTCGTCCGACCAAATCCCGCATTTCCAGTTCTTTACTTTAAAATGTTTGTGATGTTTGTAACTAGAAAACTAAATGAGCCTTCATATTTTTGGTTTATAAAGCCGTTTTGTCCTATTATCCTATACCAAACCAATTCTATTTCCAGTCCATTCGCTAACTGGTTTGTTTAACATCTCTGCAATCTTTGGAGTCCTCGAACTGGTTTTCTGTATTTCTCGTTCCGTTAAACGTGCATCAGAATCTGTCAATAGCTTGTATCGTCCGCCACTTTGTCGCGTACGTACAATATTTCGCCTTTTTTGGATATTGACTACTGTACGTTGGCTTATATGTATAAGTAGTTTTTCGGTGACCTTACAGTACTCGGTACAAAACTACAAACTCGATAATGTTCTACAACTCGATAAATTTAAAAATTTTAATGAAATAATACATGTTGGTCCATTCTCTTGCAGAGAAAGTGAAAAAGAGTTTATAGTATTACTATGCTCTTGTGAAAGCTAGGTCCTCACATTTACTGATAGGAAGTTTAGACGTTTCAACTTTACAGAAAACAATTGTAATTATTGAGTACAAAATCTGCACAAAAGCTCATTATTTAATCATTATTTCAAAGTAAAAATGATAGAAGAATCTGCTTATAGACCGAAATCTGGATACGAAATGGTTAATCAAAAGCAACAATTTGTTGCTTATGTCTTATCAGTAATATGTATACACATATTCCATACACCCATCTGACGCTATGAATATAGAGAAGAGAAAAGTAATCGGGCCATAGGTCTCTTATGCAGAACTGCTTCGAAAGTTATGCTATCGGTGGCTAATCTATACGCATTTTTACACGCGCCGGGAGTACTTCGTACTTTTTGAAAATGCGTCACAACAACAAAAATGAGCATAATGATATTGAAGAGCAACACAACGCAGCTGATAAGCGCGCTTTTATCAACACATAACTTCACTTGCACCTGAGGCCGCGGCATTGAGAAAGAGGCGCTTCAAATGATAAAATGACGAGCCAACATATTTTGGTGCTACACCCATACTATCATAGCAGTAAATAGTGTTTGCTGGCAAAACGCAATGCAATACCGGCACCCACTTGGCACTCTGCTGAACCGTTAATGTGATCTTCCTCATTTTTAATTATTTTGATTTGTCTGAACAACATTTTGGTGATAAACAAACAGAAAAAGGGCACATTCAAGACATAGATATCAGAGGGAAGTCAGTTCAGCTATCTAAAATTGATATGAAGCGCAAAAATATGGTTAATTATCAATTTGTGCAACAGTCTAAGTACTATTTAACCATTGCTCTAAGACTTGGTCAACCGTCGTTTTCATTTAGTTGCCAACAATCGGGTGAATCGCAGCGTTTACAGCCAGTGACTGCGTAACAGAAATATGTTCTTTGTCGGTTTATTGCTTCTGCTTCTCGTCGCCGACTTTGGCGCATCGCAATACGCTGCAAATGTCGACAGTCTCACGACGTCCATAGCCGGTCTGGAACAACTGATCGAGACGGAGGCTTATTTGATTCAAAATTTGGAAAGCTACGCCAAAGAACTGGAAGAAAAGTTACTCGTCATTCGCAGGTGAAGTGTTGTTGTGATTTGTGTTACTGCAAATAGTGTTATAGAGAATTATCTCACCGACTTTTTCTCAAAATAATGTCATATAAACCATTTTATTGAGGCATTTGATGTTTGTACTTTAACAAATTCGTTCGAATGCTTGGATATATGATTCCAATTTATAAATCTAATTATGTAGCGGCCCAACAGCTATGGTGATAATACAATATTATATTCTCAGAAAGTCTTGGACAATACTCTGTGCCAAATTTCGTGAAGATATCTCGTCAAATAAAAAAGTTTTCTTTATAAAGATCAATCGGCTGTATCTAATACTCGTAGCAGTCCATTATCGGTTATTGCGACATATTAACAGATTCTTGGAAAAAAGTGCTGTGTGCAAATTAATTCTCAGAAGATCGGTTGAGTAGTTCTCGAGAAATCTTGCCAACCGGCTTCAAAAGCACAGTTTCGAGAAAAACGCGTTTAAAGACGGCGCACTTAGCCTAGCTAGCCTCGGGCGTACAAGTCCTCCACGCTGTCTCTCCGAAAATATTACTCGGAACAACTTGAAAATTTAAGACAATATTCTAGAGGAGTAGTAGAATTTTATTAGATAATAAAAAAAATAGATATTTTGAAATTTGTAGGCCCATGTAACCCCTTAAGTGATTAGGTTTTGGAAACATTTTTGAGAACATTTTTATTTTATATTAAACAACACCTGTATTTCTATACTTTTCCTAAAGTTTGATTACTAACCTTCGTGCAGAGAATGAGAAGGCACAGAAGAATACTGGCTACTACGTGTCCATACCTACAAATGTATTATCTTTGGTACGCCGATTGCAGAAGGACTGGACTTATTTGGACATTTATATGAAACAAAGCGTTGGTCAAGGTAATTTTCTCCTAAATTTTCGCAATTCAAAGCATTATATTAACAACAAAATATTTTTTGTATTCTTAAAGAACAAACTGAAGCTCTACACGGGTATTGGTCCCATTTGCCAACGGAAAACGATTGGGGCGAAGCGGTAAACGCAATTAGTCGACTACAAGACACATACGAACTCAAAACTGAAGACCTCATCAAGGGTATAATTAATGGCAAAAAGTATGAGTGAGTATCAACACAAAAACTTAGGAAGACTGAATATTATCATCACAGTTGAAAATGAACCACCCTGAGACGGGGGCCTTCGGTAAGCAATGGCAAATTATCAACTATATTGTTGAGCGAAGCGATTTAAAAGTATTAATAAAGAACATTCTTGTGTTGCCGGGTTTCTAAGGCTTAAAAAATTCTAATTTTAATTCTATTTTTTTTTTTTTTGTAGCACAAAATTGTCGGCACTCGACTGCTACGCAATAGGTTTCGAGCTCTTCGGTAGAAAAGACTATATAGGCGCTGGATTTTGGCTTTATTCCGCAATCAGTTCGTACGAAGAGAATGCCTTGTTCAGACTTCATGACTTGAGCAGAGAAAAAGTTATGGAGCTGTATGCCGAAACTCTTCTGAAACAAAGTACCTACCAAACAGAATATGTCTAAAGATCTTTATATATCTATACAATAGGAGTACTAAGGTCCGAGTATATATTAATCTTCACATCACCACTTTCAGGTCGCTATCAGGATGCTTTGACAATGATGAATTTGGTATTGAGTTTACCATCGTCAAAGCCTAATTCGGAGCTCCAGCGTCGGAAAAATGCCGTGGAATTGTACATTAAAACCAACGATCCACAGCCAATAATGGTGAGGCGGTTCAATTTAGAGTTAAGATAATAATGCAGTAATAAGTGCATTAATTTTTAGCACACGAAAAGCCCGCCAACTGGTTATCAACTTGGCTGCCGTGGGGCATTTTCGAATCAGCTAACGAAACTCTATTGTGTCTACAACACGACCACCACAGCTTTTCTTAAATTGGCGCCCTTGAAAATGGAAATCCTCAGCCTTGATCCCTACTTGGTTATTTTCCACGACGTTATGAATGAAGAGGAAATCGCAACGCTTCAGCGTATGGCCCAACCGGTTTTGAGACGTGCTACCGTGTATAGCGAAGAACGCAAACTGAGTGAGGTTGTTGCCGGTCGCACCTCCAAATTTGCGTGGTTCTACGATGGTACAAATGAGGTTACAACGCGCGTTAATAAACGTATTGAAGATATGACTGGATTTGAACTTGAAGGCTCGGAAATGTTACAAGTGATGAATTATGGACTTGGTGGACACTATGCTACACATTTCGATTTCTTCAATGTCTCCATGGTAAGCACTTAGAAGGCGCTTAGTATGCGTTAGTCTTTGAGCGGACATTACAATAGTAAATTTGCAATTTCAATGTTTTCTATTTAGACGGCTGATATTGTGGCGATGCAAGGTGACCGTAAGGCAACGGTACTCTTTTACGTAAGCAAATTATTGGTTTTCTTAAATATTATAGAAGTTATATGTATGTATGCATATTTTATGTGCGAAACTAGATGACTGATGTAGAGCAAGGTGGCGCGACTGTGTTTCCAAACATAAAAACTGCGGTCTTCCCGAAAAAAGGCACCGCTGTCGTGTGGTATAATCTCAACAATCGGTTCGAAGGTGATTCTAAAACTCTGCATGCCGGTTGCCCTGTGATAGTTGGCTCTAAGTGGGGTAAGTTTTAAAATACACAAACATAGACGCAAATATTTTTACTTAAAAGTATCCACATAACCTTAAACTGATTTTTTGCAGTGACCAATAAATGGATACGTGAACGAAACCAAATGTTCCGACTGCCCTGTTATAAAGAATAATTTTTATTAAAAATCCTTGTACGATTAGCATATATGTTTAGGCTCGAAAAACCCTTTTTTAATTTTTTTTAATTCAGTTAAATGAATAAATTCAAAAGTTCGAAATTAAAATGTTTTTATATTATTGTAAGGTCCTTCTGCAGTACATAAGTCGTTTGGTGGAAAATTCCACTTTCTTTGTCATGTAGAACCTTGGCCGATCCTTTACGGAGGAAACTTGTTTTTTCGATTGTTTTGTCAATAAAATTTTTAGTTATCACTATTTGTTTCTTTTTCACTGGAGGCGGATAACAAACCCATCGCACAAACGGATGTTCTTTGGTATCCCAGAGGATACTTGGTCTAAACCGGAGGATGCGAGCTGATGGAGCCATATGATAAACCTTCGTTTCTAGTCCCACACAAGAGTATGGCGTTCATAAAACTTTCCTGACTTACGTGAACTTCTGCCATAGCTCCATCCTCCCATCAGCCTCGAAATCCAATGCAGAATAACTCTTGCCAACAGGATCTACTTTGAATTGGGTAGGCAAAGGAGAAGTAAAATCCTCTCTCAACGAACAAAGACCAAACTCTACAAGTCACTCATCATCCCCGTCCTGCTATATGATTTAGATGCATAGACGATGCACTACGACGTTACGAGTTTTTGAGAGAAAGTTCTGCGAAAGATTTATGGTGCTTTGCGCATTGACAATAGCGAATCTCGCCATCGATGGAACAATGAGCTATATGAGATATACGATGAAATTGACATAGTTCAGCGAATTAATAGACTGCGCCTGCGCTGGCTAACTTAGCCGAATGGATGAAAACACTGCGGCTCTGAGAGTGTTCGACGTAGAACCCTCCTAGAAGCAGAGGAAGAGGAAGACCTCCACTCCATTGAAAAGACCAGGTGAAGAAGGACCTGGCTTCGATTGGAATCTCCAATTGGCGCCACATTTCGAAAAGAAGAAAAGACTAAAGAAATCTACGCCAATGAAGAAAAAAAGTTTTAAAAAAATATTCATACAAAGCTGACGAGAAGCGACATACGTATTTACTAATATATTTACATATTTGCGGCTTATATGTAAAGATTTGTGTGGCAATTTGTCTACTGTCTTCTAAACCACAACTTATTAACTAGGTTGTTATGATCAGGCGGCTCATTGACCCGAAAGCTCTTCTGCTCAGCGGCACTACGCTTCGGTTACAAATATGTTAATTAGAAACCGGTTAACTAATCGCTTCACATTTGAGCCGCCGACCCACGAACGCACTTGCTCAGAGCCTTTCTTTAACCTTTCCCTATATGAAAAGCCCACAGCCATACAGGTGTTCATGTGTATTTGCGAAACCTTTTTGCACATGAAGCCGAGCGATAGTCGTCTTTGTTTACGTGACTTTCAGTTGGAATTTCGATTTTCGCTAGAACGGTTAGCGGTTCATTACAGCGACACGCGTGGTTTGTGCTTTATTATTTCCAATTATATTTTCTGTGCAATTGTGATACTCGGTTTCTGCGCAATGAAAATGCAGTTAATTTTCCTGGTAACTAGAGCGCTTTTGCTGCTCCATTCGGCAGCGGTGTATGCGTCCAAAATGGAGTTTTTCTCTTCGGTGCATCAAATGTCGAAATTAGTGCAATTTGAAGGTGTTCTCTTGAAGCATATGCAAAAATATGTGGAGTTTAATGAAAATAAATTGGAGTTTTTAAAGGCGTAAGTTTTGCATAAGAAATATTTGCCGTTTGAAGCTATGGTACAGTTAGTTGAAGTAATCAGTTTTTTAATGCAATGAATACAGTTTAAAAATGTGCTTTGAAAGTTAAACTTTCTGAAGTGCAACTGTCCGGTATTCGGAATATTTTTTAAATTAAAATTAAATATTTCATAGCTAAGAAATAAACCAATTTTTTAATTTGCGATTTAGTCTAACAAAAACGAGAGCACACATTTACATTCAATGCATGACGCGAAGGTGTCGCTTTATGATATATCTACTATGCTACATTTTTTGAGTGTGGGCTTCAAATGTCAAAAGGTCAAATGTTTGCCAAAGTGCTTTACGTCTAGCTCATCATACTCTGGATCCGAGGCATTACACTAGTTATGAGTGACGAAGTATGCCCGGCCGTTCTTTACCTCTTCTCTAGCCCAAGCCAGACGTTTCACGTCTTTCTCCATCAGACTAGACTTGCCCTCAGGAGAGCGAAGAAGCTCTTCTTCCGCGTTAGTGCATACAGCGCTTTCTTCTTAGCAGCCCTGTCTCCCATTGACTGATATCCCAGACCGTTTCGTTTTATTTTTATCCTCCATGTTGAGTTTTAAAATTCGGAGGTTAGGGGTAGAGCGTTTCTTACCTTTCGCTAGGTACCTTATTAGTAATGACTTTTGTATTACTCATTCACCCATTTCTGACGATGTATGTAGAGCAGTCCAACATAATTGGGAAAATATGTCAGCCTTCGCTAGGAGTCACCTGCCTGCAGTGTAATGACTCTGACAGGAGCCAGCTTGCTATAATGACATTGTAAGCAGCGGCACCCATTGCTCAGTTGACACCCGTGCGGGGGATACAGCTAAGAGGATTTTTGCCGACCTACACTCAAGGTTAAAGTCTTAAAATTATATCTACTCTTGCTAAATCCATCCACTTCATTTCCTGTATTTATACCGCCCATGAAAATATACAAAATATAAGTTGAAAAGAAGTTTCGATACAAAGAACAAGAGATACATCTCGGTGTTTTCATTTATAGATATACAATCTTTTAAAGTGTGTATGAATTAGATAGCGTTTTTTTCTAACACACCCTACATTTTTATAGCCGTTTGGTCGAATTGGAAAATGATCGTGACGAAGCGTTACAGGAAGGCTTGGACTATTTCGATAGCCCGGTAAACAAATACTTATTAACGAAACGTTTAACCATGGACTGGGAGCGTGTTGAAAATATTATGCAACATGATGCGGGAAAAAGTAATTTAAATAATATGTGTTACTTAAATTGTGAATTGGCTAATTGGCTCTTCGATACTTAACAGAACCGCTCAGTAACATAGAACGTTACGTTAACGTCAATCCCTTCCCCGAAGTTTCTGAATTAGAAGGAGCCATTGCCGGCTTTTTGCGCATACAAGATGTATATCGGTTTAAAACGTCGGATATGGCTCAGGGTATTCTGGAGGGTGTGAAATACAAGTGAGTAGGGAGTAGTGCAAGTTATCTACTTTAATTGTTTTAACTTATTTCATTAATAGCGTGGTGGTAGATGCCCAACTTTGTTGGGATATCGCGAAATACGCTGAAAAGGAAAATCAAATGCGACTAGCGCATGCGTGGGGCTTGGAAGCATTAAAACAGTTGCACAAAGCCGAAGAGAACGGCACCGAACAGAAGTTCGTGTCGGAGAAAACCAATGAAGCCGAAATTTTGGAATTATTGGCGAAGACTAAAAGGCACTTAGGTGACTTGAAGGGCGCAAACCAAACCTATGCTGAGCTGGTAGCATTGCGACCGGATGTCGAGAACTATACGAATAGCTACTTAGATTTCCAGTTAGAAAACATCTTATCGGAATACACCACTGTTGATCTCACCGACGAGCATGAGGTGGGTAAGAATGTTTTTCGAAGAGTTTAGGGCATTCAGTTTCCCCTATTGTAAAGCTAATGTTTCAACGCTAACACAGCCACTGCCAACGAATATGCTCAGCACCGATCAGTTCACGCGCTACAAGCACACCTGCAATGGCCTGCTTAAACAAACTCCAAGCGAGGAGCGTGATTTGCGTTGCGGCTATCTCACCGAAACCCATCCATTCTTACTGATCGCACCCATCAAAGCCGAAGAGTTAAATCATGATCCGCTGCTCGTGGTTTATTACGATGTTGTGACGGATGCTGAAATAGAGCAAATGAAGACTTTATCCAACGACTATATAGTGCGGTCAAAAGTCATGGGTTACAACAAGAGCGAAATCTCGCCGGTACGCACAAGCCAATTTGTCTTCCTGCCGAAGAAGTCCCACCCACTGCTGCGGGCGATTGATGTGCGCGCTGGGCATATGTCTGATTTGAATATGGATTATGCAGAAGATCATCAGTTCCAGAATTATGGCATAGGCGGCCACTACGGCCAACATTACGATGCGTTTGACGCGAAGTTGGTGAGAACAAACTGTGCTGTTTTGAATTTTTAGTAAACAATAAAACTTTCTGGTGTTATATGATTTTTTTAGGAACGCTTGATCAGCAATCATGAATTGGGCAATCGAATTGCAACTCTGCTCTTCTATGTGAGTAAAGGACGTTTTCTTTTCTACTAACTTCTATCCTACTAAAACAACGTCTTTGTTTTTTCTTCAAGTTAACGGATGTGGAGCAGGGTGGCGGCACTGCCTTCCCCTATATCAAGCGCCTGTTGATGCCCAAGAAGGGCGCTGCGGCATTTTGGTACAATCTGCATGCCGACGGTGTGCGGGATCTCCGCACTCTCCACGGCGGTTGCCCGATTATTGTGGGCTCCAAGTGGGGTAAGTTGCAAGCGCGTACTTTCCATCAAAAATTTATGTTTTTCTCTTCCTCGCAACAGTGCTCAATCGTTGGATCCGCGAGTTTGGCCAGAGCGACCGGCGCCCTTGCGAGTTGTGGGTCGACAGTAGATATAGCTTTTAAAGAATTGTTACGGCTTTGGTGTATTTTAATATTTAATATTATATCTATGAAACTGATTTCCTTAACTCAATTCGGTTGAGCCTGTTTGTTTTAGTGCTGAAAAATAGAATATTTTCTTTAAAATACTTACACGTTCGTGAAACTACTCAAACGAAATATGTAAGCAAACAAAGCCGCAAATTAGTTTTAAGTGTTTCTTTTTATTTTTGTGTGTATTTTCTGCCGAATGTTCAGCAATAAAGTTAGTTCCTTTCACTATTCATTAAGTCCGTGTGGCAATGCCATAGAATATTTTATTTATTTGCCTGTTTTATTTCTTATTGAATTCTGTAAACAGCTAAGAAAATCGTTTTATTTGCTAAAAATAACGTTCATAACTTTTCTTTAATTTTTTTTTTTCACTGCGATGCTGCACCTTATCGTTTATCAATATTAATTATGTGGACTTTTAAGTTTAAAGAGTTCTTCCACAGGCGTGAGTACGTCATTCAAACAATACAAATGTCAACATTTATACATAAATATGTATTTCTTATGTTTTAGTAGTAAGTTTCTCTTTCTATATATATAGCTAAAATACAAGTGTTTGATGGAAATCTGAATTTCTAATATTCTTAATGTTTTGTATTTGTCAAAAGTGCTTCAATTACGGCGCAACTTCGCGCTACAAAATATCAAAAAGAAGAAATATTATTTTATTTTTTTAATATTTTTTTGTTTTTGTATTTGCTTTGGTAGGTGGTTCATTTTACGTGAATTATCATAAGTAAACACTAAGTTGTTTTGCGCTTTCGAGTCTCGCTTGCGACTTGTGTTTTGTCTTCATTACTACCTTGCGATTTTAATTGAACTTTTTTCAATTCTTAGTTTTTGAAAAGTAATTTTGTTTTGGAATATGTAAGTGTGTAGGTTTTGATTTCTTTGCATTTTGACATTTGGCTTTGTGCGCAACATCAATACAGTTAGGCAACGGAAGTAAAAAGCTTCTGCGTTTGCATTTGTGATTTTTATTTTATTTCGTTTTAGTTTTTTGTGTGTTTCGCGTTTCGCTACTTTCTTAATTTTTTTAAATAATCGGTATTTGTTGATTTCTTTCTTGTTTTGTTTATCCTCTCTATTTTTTTTTTTTGCGTAAATTCGCTTCAGATTTGATTTTAGTTTGCCGTAATGCTTGAAATATATATTCTTTTTCGCCTCTCTCAGCTGTTACATCTTCGTGCAATGTGTATGAGTCTTGGACAAGTTGCTTGCTACTAATTGGTGTATATAAATATAAGCATTCTTCTTGCTCTGCTCACATCGACAGTTAGTAAAGTTCTCAAAAACGGGGATTGTCATTGGGGGCACACATGTAACATCAATAGATATTTACTTCAACGTGGTTCTTAGCTTAATTAATACAGGTTCTACAAATATGTGTGTTTGTTCAACATCGTAAATTCATTCTGCTTCATAAATAAATACAATTAATGCTGCTAATTCCATAAACTTTCATATAAATATTCATTAGTTTCATAATACCTTTTAATATTTGATTTATAATATTTGGTTTACACTTATTTTAAATAGTTTTTTTTCTCATAATTTCTTTTATTTGTTTTTGTTTTTATTTTAATTTTTATATTTTTTCTTTTGCTTAAACTTCGTCTTCTCGTTAATTTTAGGCGTTTATTGAAATTACAGTTTCTTAGTTTCGTGTTTTTTTTCTAGTTTCTTCTTTTATTCGCTTTAATCAAATACATTTATATATATTTATGCATGTATGTGTGTATCATATAATACGAATGATAGCATTACCTTGACTATGAATATATATATATAATAAGTAACAACATGTATCTGGTCAAAACATTCAGTGTATACATTAAGATAAGTTCTGAAAATTTTTGGATATGATAAAAGTCATCAAAATTTTGCGCTTCGAAGCAGTGCTGACCGCCGGCAGCGCGCGGTTGCAAGCTGCATTCTCGGCAAGTGTGTGTCTGCATGTGTGTGTGTGTGCATGTATGCACATATATAATTCAATGAGTTTGTGTGCGCGTGTTGTTTTTGTGGTTTGCAAATCTCAGTGGTCAAAACTTCCGGTGTACTCCATGTGATATTGTTGGTTGGTTCTGTGGGATTCAGCACGCGCCCCATGTTTACATACTCTCTTCGGTTGCAGTTGTTGCTGTTGTTGATATTGACTGCTGCGCGAGTATTCTACTACTTGTATATGTGTATATTTTTGGTATTGTTGTTGCTGCTGTGGTCTATTTAAATTTCGTAGTTGCGAAACTTGTTGGCCACATCGGAGTTCTCGGTGCCCCATTCGGTTTTCCGGTTGCCGTAGTAGAGCGCAGCGCCGCCCTCGGAGGCACGGCGATGGGCCGGGTTGGGCGAGGCTGCCGAGAGTCCGCCGCTGCCGCCAGCGCCTGTGGTGGCGCCCGCCTCGGGCAGCATGCGGTCCTTGGTCTTTGGCGTGGCCCAGTGCATGGACTGTGATTTGAAGAGACAATTATTAAATGAATAAATTTTGTGCGCGTTTTGTGTTCTTGTTGTAGTATGTGTGTATTCTACCATGCGCGTCTCCGTGTAGTCACGGTGAATTGTTTTCGCTCCGTGCAATCGCCCCAATCGAGGGTTTATTAATATAACATAAATGTGAGGGAAAATTGTTTGCGATTGCCGTGTGTGGATTAAACTCCTCAATTTTGTTTATTTTATTCGTGCTCGTTTTCCGAAAACAATTCACCGTTACTGTGTATGGTTTCAGTTTCAACTATATAAAATGCCGTTATGTAAATAAAAAAGTATACACGAATGGATATGGAGTAGGGCAAATTCACAACATCAAGTATATTTATAAAAAAAAAAAACGAAGCCATTGCTGGAAAACTAAGTATAGTATGTTAATCATGCAAAATATTGAAAATTTAAATCCACGCTCGAAGGACACCCAATATGCTTGTCAACTGCAGTAAATAACCTCTTAAAAGACACATCAAGAACTTTGAAAACTGTGTTTTTTTCCAGAAAACCTAATTCTTTTTTTAGTGCAGAATATTAGACCAGAATTCCGGGTTAGGCCAGGTAATATACTGAACCACACCAAGTAATGATAAAGAAAAACGTCCTTTATATTAAAAGCCGTATAACAGGGCAATTGGAAGTTCCGGGCCTACTAGAGGAAAGCATATTTTTTTTGCAAAATCCGTGATTTAGTTCCTTTCTTCCAACTTCCTGATACTATTTTTGTAGTAAGATTTGTACTTTGCTTCAAAATAGACCTGAGTTTCGGCGATCGCTACTTTATTCGTCGACAATATCTAAGAGAGCATATTTTTGTGATCTGAGAACTGGTAACTATCGCTGGGGGATCGATGTGGAGAATTCGGTTAATGCAGAGCAATTCGAAGTCCAATTCATGAATTTTTTTTATCGTTTTCACTGTCTTGTGACACGGTGCATTGTTTTTTTCAAATACGACCGTTTTTCGGTGATTTCGTTCTTTAAATGACCCAACAACGGTATGTAATAATAATTGATGTTCCTTACTTATTTTAAGGACTACAAAATATTTTCGCCATAAGCTTGCAGGCCGACTGTTGCGCTGTTCCATCCTTTGGAGTGGGTTCTTATGCAGTTCACTCGGATGACTGTCGATTGGACTTCGGCATGCAATTATGGGGTCATGTTTCATCCATTGTCACATATCGATTCAAAAATTCGGGTTTAATACGCTAGAACATCTGCAAATACTCGTTGTTTTCCGTCAAAAGAGGGCTCGCCTGGAAAACTCAGCTTTTTTATATTTGAGTATTCCTGAATCATAGGTATGTTCATTCAGTTGATATCTTTGGAGTTTTCGTCGATAAAAAGCTCTTTTCAATGTCCAGTACGTATTAGGGCAGCTACTTCGCGGCCTTAACAATATTTTTTTCAAAGGTAAGTCCGCTATACCGATGGACACAGCGCCAGTCTTGATGGTTCAAAAAGATATAACTAGTCGGCATTGAAAACAACAAGTCAAATATGGCTATGCATCGATGATTGTGATTATCACGACTATAAACCAAGAAGGTAAAGAAAAGTTTTAAGCAAACCTAATGTGTTAACAGTGCTCAACTTAGCCAAACAACTTTTTCTTTATAATTTAACATTTTACGAGTGGAAATTACTTTTTTTCTCGGTTTCTTGTTGTCGTCGCCTATTAAATAGGCAGATTTTTCTTAGTGATTGTGAGCAGTTTATCTTCGGCTGATCTTTCTTCTGAACTAAAAACATATTATTTCAAATTTGCTTAGCAATATACTCGAATCACAGGAACAATGTTTAAAATTCTGGTATTTTAGTCTTCCACATTCTATTTGCCATTTTAATTAACAAAATGAGTGTGTTTGTATAGCAATTTATGCTACTCATATGCGCTCTGTGGTCTCAGTGGCAAGAGAAATTATTATTTTCTGTAGTTCATGCAAAGCGATTCGGTCCACGCGGGAGGGAGCGCATGAATTGCGCCAATAGGTACATATCGATTACTCCGAGGATTTATATATATATATACATTTACTGGGCAGCTAGTTGTGCGCGTGTGTGTGCTTGTAAATGGCAGAGGAAAATTTAGAAGCTCTATAAATTTATTGCACAACATTAAGATGATTTACACACATACAAATATTCTTAGAAGTCCCAGAGTAGCAGCAACGAAGATGCAATTCCGACCGGAAAAGTGGCAGGATTGAAAATAAGTTCGCATAAAGGGAAGGAAGGGGAATTGCAATGACAACAGCAAAATGGCTAGACGCAAAATGGCCAACTGCCTGCCAATAATGGAGTAGGTGTTGCCACCCGAAAAGCAGCTGCTATGTTTTGTGGACATTTCGTAATACCTTAAAGCTTTCTTATGCGACTATTTTCATTAGTAAATATGCGGCAGCGGAGTTGTCTCAGTGAATGTGCAGGGGATCAGAAGCGTTTGGCGAAGAATGTTTGCATGGCGAAGCAGGGAGAGTGCAATTTCGTATTTTTTTCTTTTTTTTTTTTGTAGTACGTTCTCGCACCAGTGCACAGGAGTGTTGGTTTGGGGTACACTAAATGCATTAATGGGGCACGAAGAGAAAGTTTTCGTATCATTTTATACTCGCTGCGTTCGATTTGCCACTCGTACCTCCTTATCCACTTTCTCGGCGATTGTGTATCTTCTCACCTGTCCGACGTGCTCCTTCATACCCAGCCAGTTCTTGTAGCTCATCGCGATGCCACTGTTGCGCCATTTGTCGTAGTTGGCGCGCTTCTCCGGGTCGCAGAGTGTCTCCTTTGCCTCCTGCAAGTAGATAAATGTATTTTGTGGTTATAAGAAGGAAATTAGAAAGATTTGTGGGGAATCATGATTTTTATGTGGAAATTATTCAAATATAAAAACTAAAAGGAAGCGGTTTCTATGACTTCGGCGCAGCTTGTTATATAATTTTATAAAATGGTAAAAAATACAAAACTAAGTTTTAGTACTCCTATTGAAGATATATTCTGTCCGGAAATAGTAGTAGGACCTATTTAGACGAGTAGTTCCAATTTCTAATTAAATTTCAACATATTTTTTTTTTATATTTATAATGAACTTTAATGAATATAATAAGTACAATTGAAAACTTTCCTAATTTTTCGGCTAGAGACATTATTCCATCAGTGTAAAACTTCTCTTTTTTTTTTTTTCCACGCTTCCCACATTATTGTCGTATTTGATGCACTTTTCGTCCCCCGTTGCCATTCGCTTCAGAAATGGTTTGATTTCATTTTGTTTTAGCAAAGAATCGCAGATCTTAATTCGGTCCATTGAATTTTTCACAGAAAATTCCTTAGCGATGTCATGACTGCTCATGTGACGATCCTGGTCAATCTTTTCCATAATTTCATTGAGTTTTTCAACGGTTGACCAGAACGAGGTGCATCTTTCATATCAAAATTTTCAGAACGAAAGCGAGCGAACCATTGTTGTGCTACATGAACTGATACAGCATCGTCTCCGTAAACTTCACAAACTCCATTGGTGGCTTGCGTGGCATTCTTCCCTTTTTTTCACTCATTTTTGAACAGATTTTTAACTTTTTTCAACTTCCCCGAAATTAATTTTTTTTTTGGTTAAGTGAAGCTTAATATCTCACCTTTCTAACACTATATGGTATGACACAATGTTTCATTTGATACCAATCTTCTTATTGTTTTTTAGTTTAAGTATGTGGTTTTGAAATTTTATATTCGTTGGGAGCTCAATGGTCTTCTGTGCAATGCTACTGAATGTCTCTCGAGTTCAATAGCGCAAAAATAAAATATTCCCTAATTTAAAATGGATGTGTAAATTTATATTGTCAATAAATTAAGTATTATATTGAATTTTTATTTTTTATTTTGAAAACTCATTTGCCGATATTGAAAAGAGATATTAGATTACCGCCCAAAACCAATTAATTACGCGCTGATGAGTTGATATTATGTCAGCACAATGGCAAACCAAATATTTGCTTCTCCTTCAAACTGCATTTTACCAAACCAAACCACGAAACCATTCATTCCACGCATCAATAATGGCAAAGGCAATTAATTAAGCAATCCTTTCACAGTTATATTTTATGACTTTCCTATAATTCGTTATATTTTGCTATTAATTAATTAATCAATTCAAATAATATTTATTTACTGAATTATTTAGTTAAACTAGATAAGCCTATTCGCTTATGTGTGTATGTACATATGTATTTATAGAGTTTGGTGTGGCTTCCATGCTTTGCCTTCATTCAAAATAAGAGAGCAAGGAATTCGCAGAATTTTATATGGAATCTGCTCTTAGTTTGCTTCAATGTATATTTCTGCATATTCAAAATTCCCACATCATTAATTTTGCCACAATAGTTGCAAGAGCAACAACAAAAACAACAGGAAACGCAGCCACAGCTCACATTCAGCTTTTTAAAAACAACTGCCAAAGTACTATTTGTGTTAATATTTGTGTTGCTATTATTGCCTTTGTGCTTATGTGCATTCACTTTCGAAAGGAGGTGGAGAGGAATTCGCTAGAAACTATTTAGAAGGGAAATTTACTGAAAGCGATAAAAAAAAAACAATATAAATCTAAATTGCAGTATAAACTAAAGCGAAGTGAATGAAACTTCCATTTCACGTGAGCAAATGGAGCAGAGAACACCGGGCGAAGTCCATGTGTACACACACACACACCGGCATTTAAGCCGAAGTGTGGGTGCTCTTTGTCCAGTGCTGACCTAAATATTCAGTGGGGAAGCGCTAATCGATTATTGCCTGCTGTCAACAGCAAATGGCATCCCAGTGCCAGCTGGTGCAAACGGTAGCCCTTTCTCGTGGATTGTAAAAGTAGAACGACAATGGCAAATGCTGTTGTGGTGCGTTGTGTATACACTCCTTTATGTGCTTGTGTGTTTAGTTGTGAAAAGGTAGCGAGTAAGTGACATATCCTGACAACGACAAATCCACATGCTTTGGCAGCTTCTAAATCTATATTATTTTACAACGAAAAAAGGAAAATAATAGACAAAGCGATTTACGCTTGATTGTTCTTTGCGAGTGGGGGGTTGAGTCCTCCTCAAACCATTGTGGTGAGAAATAAAATATGTGCTTTCGGTTACTTTGTTATTATATTTTTATTAATTTTATGATATTCTTTCAAATGGCTGGCTTCAAGCGGTGGCGGCATGTCTATAATAAGCAAGGCAGAAAAATTCGTGATGCTCCTTCCGTTTTCAATTATAGATAGAGTTATGAAGAGTGATTTAATAAATAAATGAGGATTGCATCGCGATTTTAGGTTTATTCTTCGCTTAGCAAGAGAGTTATTGTATCTTTACAGTTATGAAGAGTTCCTGTATATTTCGCTAAAAGTTTAAGAGCAACTTTATAAAACGTCCAAAAAATGGTGCTGGGGTCCAGTGTTATGAATCTTTGGTCGCATTTGGCTGATATTCGAAATTTATCCTTATCCTTAATCAATGAAAATAAATTAATCTGAACTTTCCAGAATAATAAATGTGAATATTTGATCTGATCTGATCTGGAGTATCTTTTCATTCCCCCAATAATTTTAGTTTGCGACGCAACCAATTCATTTCCACCAATACATCATTCTAATGACAGTACTCTTCAGCTCTTTTCAAGCAAGTACCTGAAATAAATAATAAATTTAAGTCTGTACTTTGCCTTATCTCTGAACGATAAGCCGGCGTTGTGACGGTCCATTTATTTGAGTGCCTTCGAATGTTCACCTCATTGCATCACTCACTCCAGCCAGCAAGAGGCGCAATCAAATTGGGAAAGCTTTCAGTTTAGGTGGTTTCTCTGCTTGAGTGCTAAGTGTTTTGGTGGCTGAGTGGTCAGTGATGTGGTTTGTATTTACCTTTTCCATTTACACACACGAGTGTATATACATTCACTCTCCTCTCCATCATGCCATTTCCCGCGCTCTCCCCAACTGTCATCGACCATGTGTTACTCTGCGAGCACAGGCATTTGTAGTGACAACTTGCCTACTCTGTGACGGCTATTGTTATTGTTTATTGTATGTGTTTCAAGCCCTTTATATTGGGATTGTTTTTATTAGTAATAAATGTTGTGCGAATGTGCGCTTGTTGGCACTACATAAGTTATTCACAACGTGGTCGCAATTCAGTGTATGGATGTGCGTCTCTAATACCACTTCAATTGACGCCTGCTGAATACATTACCATTCGTGACCTACATATACATACATGCACACATACACACTTTTGACTATCAGCGCCTACAAGTATGCAGCAGAGTCGTCATTCATCCAGTTGACGTTCACTTGTTGATTCTTTAGTCGAATTTTATTGCCTTTGCTCACTCAGGCACCTATATACATTTTTTACATTGAATAAAAGATTAGCGTTCTTAAGTAAAAATAAGGAAGTTTTGCTGCATAAATATTTTATAATTTATATAATATTATAACTCACGAACGGCTGAAAATTGGTGGGCAGGTAGCTTAGAACCTGGAGACGGACATAGTATACTTTGTATCTCTTTATGTTATAAGTTAATACAATTCACAATTACCCAAATTATAATTCAAATCATTAGTATTAGTTCAAAATTTATGTAAGAATCTTTTGGAAATTTTACTACTTAAAAAGACCAAATACGCAGTGCAATGGATTATTACTGGCTCAGTAATCAGTCGATAAAGATTATATCACGTGCATCACAAAAGACTGATGCCATAACCTTGCCTGAGGACTGGTTCATAATGTGCAGTCCAATAGGCTGTCTGTCGATTGGGCTCCAGTGTGAAATTAGGGACCATATTTTTTTTATCACACGCCCATGCAAAAATTCGGTTTTATTACGATTACGAAGAGCACTCAAACACTCCTCAGAATCAGCAATTCGTTGTTTTTGTTGGATTATCGTATCTTTAGGGCGTCCACTGCCTTTTTTGTCCTCGGTGCTTATTACGCCTGTTTCCAACTTAGCAAATCTCCTTACAAACGTTGGTTTACCTGGTGCAGAGCCCAAATTCAACAGTATTTTCCCCCAAAACGCAACGCTTTATTTAAACACGAAATGCTTTTTGATCAAATTTTGTAAACTGACCAAATGGTGTTTTCAAACTCGGTGATCAACATTACTCGAAAATGGCTAAACCGATTAGTTTCAAACTTTAACACGAGCTTCTTAAAATATGATTTAGTAACTAGCTGACCGCGCAGCCGTTGTACTGCGTGAAATTATGTGTTTTGAAATGAAAACAAAGTTAAATTCATCATTTCAAATTTTTTCAATGTAACGCAGCTTGATAAATAAAATTTTTTGGTTTCTGTTCCGGTGTACAGAAAAGATGGTTTTCCAACGCGTGAGCATGCCACGTATAATATATCTGGCCGTTTGAAAAATATAGCATTTCCAAATTTATGCCACACGCTATGCGACTATCCTTGTGTCCTGTTGATTGTCATCTCAAATGCAATGTTCACTGGAAACGGAATACGTTTGAACTGAAATATCAAATCGTTAGAACTCAAACGAGTTCGTAGAACCAAGCATTTTGCCATCCATGCAAGGTCCATGAACCATATTGGTTTTCGCCACTTCGTATAACACTGGATCTTTCTCTGTATCAGGTATTTCCGCAGAAATGATTTCATCAATTTGATCTGGTGTAACCACCATCTGAAGAATAATGTGTGCGTGTGCGCACCTCTCGTTTGCCACTCAACAGAGTACATCTACAGAATACATCTAGCATCTAATAGTACCACATATACATACGTCGCTTCATGATAAAGTCCATCAAACATCATAACTGTTGTTTGAAAAGTCGCGCTGTGACGTCGTGACGATCGCTTGCTGATTGAAAGCGGTCCATAATTCCGCACCTATGTCACCGCATCCTGGGAGTACTTCTTGCTTTGCCTTGCCTTGAACTGCCATACATTGATGGCAAAAAGAACGCTGACCGATATTAGGGCGACTTCTTCGTGGCTTCGTAACAAACTTCAATCTGCAATTGATCTCTTTGTGTGAAACACGCGTAAAGTTTTCACTGAATAGTTTTTAATAATTTTTCTTTTGAATAGCCGGAATAAAAAAGCAAGCGACCGAAATTGAACGATTCAAATAATTTACAAATCAAAATATTGAAAAACAAACCAAACAAAAATTAAAAAAAAAAAAAAATGTATGGACAAAGGTTACTTTTTGGAATTATCCAATTTTCCGACGTTTCCTCATGAATAGTATAAGGTATTTTCAGTCCTAAACCTTCCTGGATCCACAACGAACAACTTCTGAAAATTTTATCAAGATTGATGGAGCCGTTCTTTTAGCGTTATTAACAAATAAATATTCATTCATTTGCGTGGGAAAAAGAAAGGGGATATTTTTAGGGGTCTTACGCCAATTATTCGAATTTTTCTTGCTGTAAAAACCATCCTTGAACCTCAACGAACATTTTAAAAAAGAACTGGCAAAATTGGTCCAGGCGTTGTTGAGTTATGCGCTTAGCAACACATTTTGCGATTAATTGTACATACATACATATGTAAGATAAGATTAATCGAAATTTTTTCCCCACCGATAAATATTTTTTGTTATAAACAATTTAAGTCCAAACTTTGGTCCGAAGTCGATTTTTTTGAGAAACCGCCATTTGGTCAAACAATTTTATTTTGCTTACTCCTTTAATTCGCTTTACTAGATCCAGTTCAGAGATGTAGTAGTAAACAAAAAAAAAATTGTTTTTTGAGAGAGCTCCCGGAGATCAGCTGTAATTCTTTTCCAAGTAAATATTTTCACTAATGCTAGGTCTTCAAGTACAGTTAAATGTTACCACATAATAGCCGTGTTTTATTTGACCATCACAAACTAATAGCTAAATCATGGACAAATAAAACGCACTTCGCTTATTTCATATATTAGCTTATAAATGAATTGTGTTGGCAATTAGGAGAAGAACAATCAGCTGATATACAATTTAGTTTGAAATTTCAAATTTGTAAACGGAGTATTAATACATACATATACTATGCAAATATATTTATTTTATTTATTTGAGGTCTAGAATACAAATAACCGAAAACAAGTGTTCATATTTGTCTTAATTTTAACTCAATACTGATAAAAAAAATTTGTAATTTTTGTTTGTTTACGTTTTCATCTATCAAGATGAGGTGTCCAAATTGTATGTCATCTATTGCAAACTACAACCTAAATAATGTAAACGAAAAAAAAGCGATGAACTGGAAATGCTTCTAGTTCAATATGCGAGCTATGGTAGCTTATGAAAAGCCAACATAATTATGTTTGCAATCTTCCATACAAAATTAAGCTATTAGGAGCTTAATTTGCTGGTCGAATAAAACACGCCCAATATGTGTAAACATTTTTGGATCAATAAAATTAAAAATATTCTCAGAAAAAAATTCTGGAAAAATCGGTTTTTTCGGCCTTTATATTACCGCTTAGGCCACGTGGAATACAGTTTTTCAAAAGAAACAACTTTTTTCTGGGAAGACGCCTTTTCAAGCAAAAATTTTTTTTCCGGTCCTTTGATCATAACCCAGATCCATCTGTTGTAATAATAATTTTTTTTAAATTTGAGAGTTTAACCAGAATAATTCCTCACAGCCATACACTTATTTTCAGACGTCCCTTTGGAGATCAGCTTTGCACTCAAAGAAACCTAGAATGCTTCGATTGAATCACCGATTATAAATTATTATTTTTGTTTAGTAATGAAAAATAATTCGTTCTTCTGGTTTGTAGCTGTATAACCCATTAACGAACCAATTAACATGCATCCCATATCGATTGAAAACGGGAATATACGAATAATTCTCAATATAAAACTACAAATCCTTCGGGATTAAAAATGCCAATTGCAATGAAGAACAGCTCGAGTTGCCGATGAATTATGACTAAAAAGTTGAGTATTGTTATTTTGCCTTTTGTTTTCTAATAAAACTGCTCTGATTGCCCTTTTCCTTTTTCAAATATGCAAATTAATTTCAAGTGTAGGAAAGAAACATTGCAAGTGGCAATTGACCTGAGTATAATTCTGTGGAAATTTAAGCTCATTTTGAAATATTGCATTTGTGTCTGTGACAACAAAGTGGAGGCTTTCAAATAATTCCATTATTTGTTTTCATAAATTTTCATGAAATTGTTTTTGTTCTCATATTTTTGGTGCTATGTGTTTTTCTGCACAACGTAAATGCTGCTGAACTCGTAATTACAAGTATATGTGTATGTGTGTGTATAGTATTAGTTGTACTAAAGGCCACACTACGCACTCCGCTAAGGCTCAAGGATACACAAATGCTGCCAAAACAACAAAAAATCTAATAAAAACAGAAAAGTTAATTACAGCAATTGCACAACCACAAATGCTCGCCTAAATATTTAGGTTGGCGTGCGGCCGGGGCAACATTTGGCACGGGCAACAAAACATACATGACACACATGACCTTAGAGTAACAATTAATTAGTGAGTGACAGCAATTGGATGCAACAGGTCTTCAGAGGATTTCCGTTCGGAGTTGTTCGGGGTTGTGTGTGTTGTTGTTTTTGAAGCGGAACTTTTGCCTATTTTATGTGCACAGGAAACCATTAACTTTCGCATCACTGGGCACGCAAATTTGTGAGCTCAACCGCAAATATTGCTTTTTTGTCCGAAAGTAGTTAGTTGGAGCTCTCGCAATAATGTCGGCCAATGATGCTTCAAGTGTGAGAGAACGAATTTGGGATGTGTATATGTAGTGGTTAGTGTGTATCTCTCAGAGGTGGAGTGCTTTAGTGATTAGTTTCTACGTTATTATATACACTTCAGAGTACTTTCTTTGAAGCATCATTTTACAATATGTGTGCGTTCGTGGTATTATCGTAATAATTATGGTACAAGTGGTGGCAAGAAATGAAATAAAGTACTGAGCTGTTTGTCCACAGTGCCAAGAGAGAAAAAATAGCTCGATGTGCAATGCAGATGGAGAATATGGTCGTCGTTATACGAGAATGCCAGTTAAATGTAATTGTTGCTTATATGCAGTGTTGGGACGAAGGACACCAACTCACAAAATAAGCCTGTCAGGCATTGTTGGGCTTTGCGTCAGCGTCAAATTGTTGTAATAACAGTACACAGGTGACACTGAGTGCGCTAACGGTACCAAGTAAACACACTGTCACATTCGTATGCGTAAACAAACACACATACGCACATTGAACGTAACTTTCCAAATAAGGTAAACTTTCCTTACATTCGTTATTTTGCTCTTAAATCCACACCAACAACAGCACATGCATGCAATTATGTCACTTGTGTGTGTGTGTATATATGGGTGTGTGTGTGCAGCTGCATGATCTGCCTGTGGTGCGATTTCAAAAGTAAGCATTTCGCATGAGTCTTGCTCCCCAATCGCTCTTGGCTGACGAGGCGAAAAAAATGCTGGCGAAAACAAGCGGCAGAAAGCAAGTAACAGTTTGCGTTTGAAGCGTGAACTCCACATTTGCTGTGTGAGTCTTGCACGGCATGAAACTTCCGTCGTACACACACGCACACCCGAAGGCAGTCGGCCAAGCGCCTTTCGTTTTTAAGCTGCCACTAGCGTCTGTTGCATTTCATATCCCTGGCGCTTTATGAAACTTTTGCTTGACGCACACAGGCGCTGCAATAAGTAAAATAACACTGCGTGGCTTAAAGTTGTCTACCAGTGCTTAAGACACACACACCACCGCAAATTGGCGCTTGCCACATGTGAGTGTGGGTTTCTGCTGTGTGTGTATTGGTGTGTCAATCAGGCTTCAGTGGTTGCTTTGTGCGAAGTTTTAAACGAGTTAGTGCCATGCCGACATCTGCTGCGCTCTGCGTCCGTCGCTCGCGTGCAGCGCGTGCGTGATTGACGCTCGCACATTGTTGCTTTCGCAGCAGTTACATGCGTTGGCAATTTATTTTTAGTGCATTGAGCGATGGTGGGCAGACATGCATGGCCACTGTACGCAAATACTCGGCCACCGTGAACCGATGTTGGTTTTAAGTGGCAACTATATGTCACTCAAATGCGTTGAATTATTCAGAAATTACACAGAAGTTTGATAAAGGCAACTTCAAACGAACAATATGAATGACTTAGATAAGCTATTCTCTCTTTCAGTTAAAAGTTGATTATATGAAATATTTTAGAAATTGTTTACCTTTAGCCGTTGGAACTTGGCTTCAGCATCCTTGTCTCCGTCATTCTTATCCGGATGGTACTGAAGAGCCAACACTTTGTACTCAGCCTGGATTTGTTCAACCTGAAAGCAACAAGTTTGTACGGAACAATTATTATTTTTATATTTCTCAAATAAGGACATAAATTTTTAACAAAAAAAAAAAATTATATTTTGCTCAAACAAAAACACGTTTTTGGGCGGTGTCAATGACCGATCTTCATGAAATTTTAAATATTTCTTTGAGATAAAATTCAAAAAACATGAATGAAAGATTTTTTTTCGATTACAAATATTTGAAAAAAATAAAAAAAAAAATTTGCGAAATTTGCCTTTTTTTGTAAAAATATCCGACAAAAATCCAATTTTCAGTTTTTTCCCCTCGTGCAAGTCCTAAATTAATGTATTAATTAAAACAAGTATTTTTTCACTTTAGATGAAGAAATTATGCTTCCAACGCGGCCGCTTCTTTTTTCCGATGCGGCACCGGGAATGACGTAAAAATCGCCGAGTTTAATATATTTTTTTTCCATAAATTTCAGAATTTCTTTGCTTATGTTATATATTAGTAGTATTAGTAACAATAAAAATACTAATAAAATATTGAATTTCTTATATGAGAAAAAAATTGTTGAAAAAAAAACAGTTTTTTACCCGAGGGACATGGGTTTCCATTAAAGAATGTTTGGAATGTATGTGTTTAAATACAAATTGAAGTAACAGAAGTATCGTCCTAGTAGAGTTAGATCACTTAAGTATAGAGATATCATAAAGAGAATAATATCAGACTTTTGTAAGCGACTTAAGTCTAACAGAACCTACTAGTAAAGAAGTAGGTTAATTCGAAGAAATTCACATTGCAGATGTTAAGTTGTTATTGAGTTCTATGGCATGTCAGCTTTGTTTGTCAATCCACTGGCATATATTAATGTTGGATGATGGCTGTTATAACAGTATTATGCCCTCATTCACACAAACACAGCTTAATGTATTGCTATTTGGTATGTCATAGCCCAGAACATTGGAGTGAACTCCAATTGGCCTTAGCTTCAAGCGATTGTATGCCAACTATTTGGCTAGTTGGCAGGCTAAAGCGAACCGTGTGTACCCACACGAGTCATATGTCCATATTTTGCTTAGAACATAAGTGAGCAGTCACAAAATGTAATGTCGCTTTCAAGAATTGCGACATGCCAGCCAGTGACCATATGCTCCTACTCATACAGTATGTGTGTGTGAGTGGGACACATTCTTAAACTACTCACGTTGGTAGCTCAAAGGGACAGTTTATGATCAACTTTAAAGTCTTAAGTGCATAATTTTCGTTAAACTTTTGCTGCGCCAATGAAACGTGTTTTCCACACATCCACTTTGCACTCGCTCGGCTCCTGCTGTGCCTGGATAACCTACATACTTCGTGGGCTGGCCAAACAAGTGCTGGGCGCACAAAGGCGTAGGAAGCACCAGCTGAAGCCCAACTCATGACGAACGCACACAGAAGCAAAAGCAGCTGATAATTGTTGTTGTTTCAGTGTGCTTTGTTTTTGCGTGGGCTTTCAGTTAACAACAGCTTGGCCTCTACTTTTTCCATACGCTCGGGGATAATTTATACTTTTATTGTTGTGGGTTGAAGCTTTCTGCAGAATTTCCATCGGAAGTGGCGAAGTACTGGCTTTACATGGTGAGCGCATTGTGAATTTCTTTCTCGTTTATTGAGCTAAATGTTGACAGACGCTGGCTTTCTGCTTGCACACATTGGCTTTGTTTGTTCGCTTTTAGTTTTCCGTCACTCCAGTGGCCTGAGTACACCTGTCTGGTCTGGTTACTGGCTTACACCATCACGCCTTAGCCGCTTAATTAAGTTTTGTGCGGCGCAACTCGTCTTGCAGACTACAAAGTTTAGTGATAGACATTTTGCTTGATTCTGACAGTCTGTTTAATTGAATCTGGCCGCAATTTGATTTGAGTTTTGCGTCTGTTCCCAGTCTTCATCGTCGATATATTTGCGCTGAATCGATAAGAATTCGTAAGATTAGAATACCAATTCAATTATGACGGCTGCATTAAAAAGATTAATGGTATCCCTTGTGGCAAGTTTACTCTTTAGTGAAAGACTGTGTTGAATCTAGTAATTGGTTGCTGTATAAAAGTGAAACACTGAAAAGTGAAACTTCCAAAAATCGTTATACTTATGGGAAAAATGCCCGGTTAGGGAGATAAATATTTAATAACTATATTAATAATGTTTTTTTTTTTTTAATTAAATGTCTATGCCAAATTTCGCGAATATATCACTTATCATATGAGCAGCTTCTAGGTGAGAAAAAGACGTGTGCAAAATTTCAGATCGATGTCTTAAACACTGAGCGAAGTTATATATGCAGACATAAGGAAAGATAGACCGACTTGTCTAAATCGGCTTAGCCCGTTGCGCTCCTCATTTGTCTATACTTTATAGGGTATTTGACGATTCTTTTTGGGTGTTACAAGCATTGAGGCAAACTTAATATACTCTGTTCAGGGTATAAACATCCACTGGTGGAACTTTCATGCCATAGGCTATAGTGATTTGACATCGGCGCTTCGGACAAATGAACAGCTTCTAGGAGACAGTCTCTCTTTCGATCACACCAATCTGTTTCTCATTAGTGAAACATCAAAATGAGGTGAAAGGTTCAGAGAACATTTGAAATTTCCTCAAAGGGATCAGTATATTCCCTTAACATTCTCAATACAAAAATATTTTTTAAATTTTCCAGGGGTGCCCAAAGGTGTTATCATACAGAACATAAACTCTTTTTGTCAGCAAAGTTAAGCAAATTACAAAATGCATGAAGTATGAGAAGATTTCAACTACTTTTGTCTCACCAGACGATAGAGGGTGACCAATCGATTGGTAATTTTGGCAGTCGATCTCTTATTTTAAATTTTAACTCACGGCTTCACAAGTTAATTTTTCAACAAGAGTGTACAATGGACGCCTTAACTTCTTCTTTAGTTGTATGCTTTTTTCATAATTTGCTAACTAGGATTTCAGGCAATCACAGCTTCGGCCTGAACTTGTGACAGCCAGAATAATGATGTGTCTGCTTTGTAAAGCGCTGACTAGGTGGTAGGTCTATAACATTTAAAATTGCAAAGGAATGGAAATTCCAGCTATGAAAAAGCATGAAATGTGCTTGAATACATTATTGCAATATTTTTTTCTTAAGAAAGGACATTGGTAACTCAAATAACGGCAGACATTTTGATTTCAACAAAAAATAACTTTCCTATTCTTTCGTAGTCAACGGACTAGTAAATAAAAATTTGCAACAATTGTGCTTGTAAAGCTGCTGTCAGATCTCTTTACAGCCGAACTCAACTTTGGATTCATTGCTTCCCAATAGACTTCTGCGAACATTTCCTTTTTTCAATTCACAGAGACTGGTGTGGGCTTGATGTACATATGTCTGCTCGGCTGTAGTATGTCTGACAGAAAAACAATAACAAACCGAAGCTCCTGCAGCAAGCAAAAGAAAGCGACAAGCTCTGCGAGTGCTTATGCAGGATGTGCGGGAATGTTACGTCGGTTTCTTGTTTATTATGCTCCCGCCCGCCCGTGCGCCCCTTTATTCCTGTTTTGAAATATCAATAACAGGGTGTTGTAGCACAATGTGGTCGTAAAAGGGAACACCTGAATATAAAATATTTTTATTGCCCTTAACGGTCCGTGTGTGCTTATACACACGCATACACGTCTAGGTGGCATGCATGGCCTGAAAAAGCTAACGGCATCGCAAATATATTGCTCCGGCGCATTACATGGAAGTTTTTCCAAGCTGAGTCATGACCATGACGACTTTAAGTTGTGTGTCATGTGAACGCTTCACGACACACGCCCACAGGGCACACACACCTGTGCTATTTCTGCTTTCGTTCCTCTCTTCTGCGTGAGTTCATTTTTCTAGAATTTCTCTTCTTCATTTGCAAGATTTTCTGCGTAAGAATTTCGCTTAAAACATTTTGCTTGATTTCTGTTTTCATTCCGTCTACCCTCATTTAGGCGCTTCCAATCCCTAACTGCGCTTTAATGGCACTCGCTAACAAAGTTTATATCCATTTGCTCATCTCATTCAATCATTTCGCTCTCCATTTTCTCGCTCCGTGATTTATGTGCGCCTCTGTGTGGGTGTGTATGTTGGTGTGTGTGTGTTCGCGTATAAATTAATGTGAGTGAGCTCGTGATTTTCAATAGATATTTGCATACATGCAAAGGCATTGGTTTGGGTGGGGGTGTGGCGGTGCGCAATTCCTTCTTTAAAAATGTATGCGAGTTAAATTGCAGATTCTTGTTTTTCGCGTCGCTCGACATGCGCCACATTATTAATTTATATGAATTTAAAATATATTGTATTATGTATAATTAACGATCTGCCATTTAAAGCGGCAAACATCGCCACGCTTTAACTTTTACCTTCTAGTGTATGCTTTACTGCTACTCAAAATGAGTTAACGGAGCGTGTGGTAAATTCATAAAAAATAAAATTTCGAATTTAACCGATATTTGAAACATTTTCTAAGAAGAAAAAAGAAAAAATACTAATGTATAGTTTTCGAGAACCTTTATTTTATTTGAACCACTTATCGAAAAGTCCACATTATATTATGAGGTTATAAAGGTTTGCGTGTTTAAAAAAATTGATCTTTTGTCTTATTAAATTCTGCAACACCTCTAAAATATTGTCCTAAACTTTCAAGTAGATCCGAGTAAAAGTTCTCAGCCTTGAGAACTTGTGCGCTCGAGGCTAGCTAGGCTAAATGCGCCATTGTGTTTTTGAAGTCGGATGGATTTCTCGAGAACTACGCAACCCATCTTCATCTTTGAAATACAATTCTTAAAGATTTGTACAAAGTATTTGAAAAACAAAATTTTATGAAATTTTCATCTTGTTGTAAAAATGTCTACCAAAAATCCAATTTTAGGAGCTGTTTTTTCGTTCAAGTTCTAAGCTAAGCTTTTATCTAAAACATATATTTTTTCACTGCCAAACGCGGGCGCATTTTTTTCCGAGGGGTCGTAATGCCCAAGTTTAAAATACTTT